AAGTCACTGGAAATTTGTATTCTTTTATTTGTAATTTCTGATGAGGATCTTATGGCAGTAGCCAATGCGTTTTCTGAGTGAAAAGAGTTATGACTGTATGGTCTCAAATTAAGTAATAAGAAGAAATAAAACCAACAAAAGTTCTATCACAAATCCAAATGTATTGAGTATTCTGAATGAATTCCAATATTGAATGTGCTGATGTACCAATCGTCTTGACATAGCACAATGATATAATCCAGTTTTTCTTTGAATGAATAACAAAAATCCCAAAATAGTGGTTTAGTTAAAAGTTCAATGAGTACTTTGTTATTCCAGTGAATAATTTAAATAAAATTGACTCATCTCAAATTATATCTTAACACAACAGGATGAATTTAAAATGGAAATTAATAAATTTTAAACCACAATGTTGTATATAAACCTAATACGCAGCAAAAATGAACAGAATATGGGTCACAAGATGTCTTCCAGAACATTTGGTAAATAAGGCTAGATCAAAAGTCATCGACAAAATTCAACACGTTCAGCAATCCAACGATGAGTTTCACATCACCGATGGAAAAGCCACACTTTATACGACAACACGTTTCCACTCCGAAAGGGAGCGGGCAACTCAGAAATGTGTTGTTGGTGGAAAACATTCGCAGCACCAAACGCATCATCGTCCAAATTAACAACTTGCAAGACCACGTGTATTTGACAGGACCCTCGTCGTGGGTGAAGTGTACGTCGACAAGAACAAAGCCGCAGAATGAAAAGGAGCATGAAAGTGCATTCGATTATCGGACCGACCCAAAGAACTAAGCGAAGCAGAATTTATGTTACAGCAGGCAGGCATATCAAAAGACACTGCCTGTAGTATTCCTGAAAAGCAAACAAAAAAATCTATAAGCATCTTGGTTCCACGCTACAGGTTGAAAGTGTACCCTCAAATGGTTCAAGGATCTCTGGTGTTTCGAGGTACCAGTTTCCCAAACCAAATATATTCGCATCTATCATCGTGAAGAGCATTTCGTTCCCATTACCAGTATCATCGGATTTCTCGGAAAAAACTATTATTGTGAGAAATGTGAGCAAGGGTTCAACAACTGAGATCTACATATTCATTACGGAGATAGATGCCACGTTGCTTAGCGTCTAAACCCCGCATTCCCGAATGAAAAGAATAAATTCATTTCTCTGCTTGCCATGGAATTTTTGACAGAACTACATGCTACGAAGAACATCACATGACATACGGTCAACAAGAGGCAAGCACTTGCCAACTATTGAGATTTTGTTCTGCTTGTGGACATCTCATGCACACCAAAAACGCTAAAACAAACATTAGTCAAGGAAAGAAACAATGTAGTATTTGTCACCAATTCATGGACTTTGGACATCAATGTTGCATCCAACTACAAACATCAACAGGGAAGAGATTTGAAGAATAAAATGAAGGAAATGACGCAAGGAAATTTCATCATTTTGATTTCGAATGTATATAAGAGACAGGCATTTCATCCCTAATTTCTGCGTCGCTCATATGACTTTCGAGAAGTGCATCAAAGAGCATATCTTTTTTTCATTATCCTCATTGTAGCACATAAAACATCTTTGGAGGACCCTACACTCTTCCGGAACTTGATCTGAGACCTATCGACGACATGAGTAGCGATGAGGACAGTCAACATTTCGGAGAATGTAATCGCTATGCTATGGTGTTATCTCACAATTTCTCTGAATACGATGAACGATTTCTTCTGAAATTATATTCCTAATAAATCACCGACTGCCCCCCCCCCCATGTCACCGTGAGTTGAGCCAAACTCATCTATATGAAAATAAGACAAGCAGAGTTTAAACAGTCCATGAATGTTTTGGCCATGCCTTTAAGTTGAATGCTTAAAAACGTTTGGAATGACATTTTTTTTTTCAGTACCCAAGCCAATCAACACGCGGTCCTCTTGCATTTGCCTAATGCTGACTATTACGACCCGACAATCTGCATACCCAAGAGCGAGATCTCTTCTACGCATGGTACCGCTCTCGTGTTTCCATCCCCTTTGATTTTAGGGGAAAAAAATGTTAAATTATTACCGATCCTATGTGAACATTTTATGCCGTTGTTGTGTAAAATTTCGACAATTGTTCATGGAGCACGGACGGATCTATTCTTGAAATAAAGCATCTACCATTGTTAGAACCTTGCGTCTAAGTGTACCGCAATACATTCATGCCAGAAAACACACCATTCTACGCTCTCAAACTTATCAGTTCATCAGCCGTCAATATTCTACCAATATTCTGCGTTGGTTACGTAACTTGTGCCAAACGGAAAGCAAGCGAATTGAACACGCCGGAAATTGAGAAGTAGATAAGAAAATTAGAAATCTTTCGGCGAATGTTTGGTATTTAGAAGACTTCAGATGGTCTACGAATTTCATGGAGGATTATTTCACAGCTGCCATTCCATTTACCCTCAACGACACACGAAAAGCCCATTTTTAGTATACACCATAGAATAATTGTACGAGCAAACTTACCAATAATGCCAGAAGCTTAAACAAGGATACCGAGTACAATCGACGTTTCAAAATCGATTTTAGACGCATTTACCGAAAGTTACGACGTGCTGGATGTGGAACCTCTAGACTCACGCAACGGTTTATTTGGAGGACGAACGAATGTTACACGTTTGCTATTACAATTCAACGAATCTCAAGGAGAAGAAATCAAATACATCAATGTATATTCCTTGTACCTTTGGGTGTGCAAACATTGCCGATTTGGAACATGACATCACCACCACCACCCAATTTAACTACAAACTACTACGAAAATGAACTATTCAATACAAAAGGAAAGTCCGTATCAGAAGCAATTTACCACTTTTTCCACAATACTGTGACAGCAAAGTTCGTCCAAGAAGGAAAACGATTCAGTAAACCCTAAAGATTTTTTTTCGTATCCGAATGTCTCATAAAGGGACTTCCAGAATATTTGGAACGACGACATGCACATGCACAGTGAAGTTTAATGATCTCTCTTCTGAAGTTCCACCAGAGAAAGCAGTATATTTCATTATGGGCTTATATGATTAATTATTAGAGAAACTCAACACTGTCAAGTCAAAGATCGAGATAGTTTGAGTCCATCGATGTCTGACAGCAGTTTGAACTCTGCTGTATAACTCGGTTTTAGTGTGCCTGCAGAATTAACTTCTTCCAAACTCTTTGCATAAACAATGAGAGAAGAGTTTGATATCAGCGATGGAGAAATGACAATTCACGTGACACACATTTCACATCCATTTGAGAAAGACAATAGATGAAATTTATCTATTCTTCTCTCTTACCAATACGTGTACCTATCATGTTGGATACACGGACCGATTTAAGACTGGAAGGGTGTACTTGACTGGAAACATCTTGGATTTAACGCTGGGACACAAATGGAAGCTAATCAATCTCTATACACCGTGTGACGAATAAAGGAGAAATATTAACCTCGCTTTTTTATTACTTGTTTCTTGTTTGTTTTCGCTTTAAAAAAGTTGAGATGAAATAAGATGAAAGAAAAGGCATTATGCAATTATCTTGCATGTAAAGAGATTTTTCCATGAACTTTAATTTTAAAAAAATATATTTGTAGAACCAAGAACTGTGTTTCACACAATATGAAAATAATTGGGGATAAAATTTTGTTTTTGACAAGTGTTGTAACATGAAACTGAATTTTTAATGCGAACAGATTATACCAAAAATTATGTTTCTTTTAAAATTTGTTTTCTTTATAGCATGCACTACATTTATTTTAATGCACATCGGTTACACGCTGAGATATTAACCGTTTATAACAATTTTTAATTGTCTTGTATGTTTGTTGTTCCTCTCAGAATTGTCAACATCACAGTCCTCCTTTTCCTCCTCTTCCTCTACTTTCAAAATCATTGGCGAAAAAAGTAGATAGTCAATATTTGGAGGCACTGTATCTTCTCCAAACCTTTAACATGCTAATTGCTGGACCGAGCTGTTTAGGCAAAACCGAATTTGTCGTTTGTGTGTTCGAACATAACAGTCGCAAGCTGCTAACGGCCTACTTGAAGTAAAAATCTTTCGTCATTCCTGGCGAAGACTATGGGTCTGATGCGAGTCCAGCATATTTTATCATCTTCAGTGATATAGTAGGAGATGACAACGAAAACATAAACTTTGGCTTACAAACAAAGAACATGATCGTATTGCCAGTATCAGTTACATTACATACAGTCTGTTTCAACAAAATAAAGATCGTCGTTTCATAAGTCTCATTATGTGGTCTTGTTTAGAAGTCTAAGAGATAAACTTAAATAGTAAGTGAATGGCAACGCCGCACGCATAATGCAGTCAGGGTTTTCTAACTAGTAGGCCTATTTATGACCATTCGATTTAAAATCTTCCAGAAAAAGAATTCCCAAAAAAAGAAAGACAGTTCCTGCCATCAAGATAGAAGGTACTGGCTACTTTTAGGATGCGTACTTACATCTGAAAACCACACTGCTGCTCGGCGACAGTTTTTCCTTGTCCAATTGATTCGTAATCTCAATTTTAAAGAACTTCGACAGCAGCAACGTCTCCTACTGCTCTTGCCACTGCTACGACAGCTACAACGATGCTCTTTCCTGATACTAAAGTACAAGACAGTGTATTCCAACACCAAATTCTTGGATATAATATTTTGGGAGAATTTGCATCTACATTCTCGAAAAATTTTTTTTTAGCAGATTCTCCAGTTCACTCTTGTGATATTTTACCAAAAAAATGTGTATTTTTTTTATTGGTGTGATTTTTACAATATTGGGATATTTGTATTTGACATAAGTAGTCAAAATATACTATACAAATGTAAGTACATTGATATTTTTTAATACTACGATTACGTTATAGTACCGCTCTCATGTATATTATATATGTTGCATTCACACACACACACACACACACACACACACACACACACACACACACACACACACGACTGCTCCTGTGGCCTAGTGGTTATTGCGTCCGCCTTGGATGCGGAAGATCGTGGTTTCGATCCACGGCCGAGTTATACCAAAAACTTATAAAAATGGTATTAACAACTACCTCGCTTGGCGCTCGGCATTAAGAGGTTAGTGTTATGCCTGGTCGGCCTGGTGTCAGGATAATGTGACTGGGTGGGACATAATGCTATATGTCTGCTGCATGAATCCCAGGTGCTGGACATCACTATAAAACTGCTACACTGCATACATCGTAGCGATATAAGTGAAAAAATTGTTGAAGCTACGTTAAAAATCCAAATCTCTCTCTCTCTCTCTCTCTCTCTCTCTCTCTCTCTCTCTCTCTCTCTCTCTCTCTCTCTCTCTCTCTCTCTCTCATTGTAAACAAAAATTAGAGCCGATAACTTTTTTTTTTTACATTTTATGCATTTGGTAATTCATTCATTGCACTTTTAGAAGCTGATATTTTCTAGTTTGGCAAAATTTATTTTCCATATTTTAATAGCTGCCAAGAATAGTGTGCTTTAGACAAATTCAGGTTGATTTTTTTGGAGCACAAGGGAGCAGTCATTTTAGGTAGCATGTCCTAAGATCATTTAAAATTTACAAAAGTAAAATATCCAAATAAATTTCAGCCACATTATATGAAAGTATTATATATGTATGACAACATTCTCTCTAATGTGCATGTTTAAAATGCAAACAACTTCACCTTACATACATCACTCTCTCAAAAGTACATAATAAATGGTGAGCGCCACCTATGTTTTTGCGTCACGCAGGAATTCCCCATGAAAACTTAGATTAATACGCGTGCATCTTATATAGTAAATAACTTTACATTACCGAGGGTATTTGAATAACATAAATACAATATCTTGTTTAAATATTCATTTGTTTCAGTAAAAATTGAATACCTTACCGGTCTAATTTTAGTGAGATACAGTGAATTTCCTTTGATTATATGAAATATATTTTTGGCGGAAAAGATAAATGGTTTTTAATGTGTTATAAGGCACTTCCGCCAGATGAGAGTAACGAGGAAAGTGTACAGAAAGTTTTCTGAAAGTTACAGCAAAATATCACTTTTTTTGTCTGGATAAAAAGAAGTTGCGAGATTTCTTGGCTTTATGGATTTGAAAATTCAATTATAAAATACATTTGAAACATTCTTTTAATCGAACTAGAGACAGAACTACAAAATGGTGGTTTTGGACAACATGAACCCACTTTTCGATGTTGTTTTCGTTGTGGAAGCGACTGCCAATATGGGAGCATATATTGACGAGTTAAAGTCTACATACATCATCCCTGCATTAGAGTATGTAATTGCTGAAACTGATTTTTGCTTCTGCTTAGACTGCTTTAAAATTGCATGATACATTTCAGGAGTTTTTTTTAAAGAATTTTTTTTCTCTATAACTAAACTGAATATTCTAGGACAGAAACTGGGAAATTCACAGGACAGAAAATTACAGTACAGAAAGTCAAATATTCGCAATTTTAATTTAACTGTTACGAAATAAATATTTGAGAAAAAAGTCCATTTGAATTTTATAATGTTGCAGGTTTTTACATGAAGGAAAAAACCACTTCACTGGCATAATAAACAAAGAATCAGTGATTTAAAAAAATTCATGGTGCTAACAAAACAAATTTTTGTAAAAGTTTATTAATGATTTATTAGTGTGGGTAATATATTCACAGTAAGCAACTATATGAAACTGGAAATGGTCTTCAGGTTCAACATTTGATCAGCACTCAAATGGTGTAGTCCAGTATTTAAACAAGATATTAAGGTACTGTCTTTGTGACATGGGATCCAAATGCATCCTGTTGCATTACAGTAATAACTGGCATTTTATCTTTATGAAGGTCCATAAGATTTGGTGTGATGACCCTACCAAAATGTAAAACTTATTATTCCATCCCTCACATATGTTTTTGGTACATGGTTGCTGTGTGTATACTCTGTATGGCTGGTGGTATTCTTTCCGTTGTTAGAGCAGTGGCCCAGATTTATACTCACTCTCCAGATTTGTACTCTCTCTCTCTCTCTCTCTCTCTCTCTCTCTCTCTCTCTCAACCTTTTGAAACACAGAATGTGTCAAAATATTTCACAAGTTCTTCAGACTTTCGTGGTTCCTCCGACATGATGGCTCTGATGTGAGTGATACCCTTTGCCACTGTATTGTTAAAAAAAACTAAGCAAAATGATATTAAGGTACACTGATTGATATCAAAGCTGATTTGGATAAATTTTACAGACATAATTTTCTGTCATATCCTGCAGTTTTAGATTAAAACCACTTTTTAAAATGATTGCAAAACCATGAATGATGACCGATGTCATGAAAGAATGTTGCCTACAATTGGTGGGCATAAATTACCAGTATTAATTTGTCATATGATATATATTGTCTTATGGTTAGCAACTTTAAGCAGTGTTTTTAGGTTCTCTTTGGTGGCCCACAATCTTTTTAAATTAGATCCAGTTAATATAGCCAAATCATATTTGATTTGTTTAAATTACAGATATTTCAATGGAGGCCCACCTGACCCAACGGATTATGGGAATGATGTGAGTACAGTATAGTGTTTTTCTTCTTGTTTCTACTGACCCAGATTAATCAAAATTCTGTACAATGACTTTGGAAGACTTTTTGTTTTCCATATATATTTATTTCTTTCAAAATGTTGTAGTTCTTTATTACTTGGGACATCCTTTATTGACTTCTTATTTGAATCTTTTAAGACACTGTCATTGTCTTTAAAAGTAAAATGACATAGAGAATAAGTTGACATAGGATTACGTTCATTCATGAAAAGCAAATAGTGGCTGTGTGGCACACAACTACTTTTAATTATGTTTCAAAATCCATGCTCTAGCTTGATAGAAATATAATGGCATCCACTCCTCACTCTTCACTCTCTCTGTCTCCTTTGCCCTCTGTGACCATCAAAGTCGTCCCCATTGCAGACCTGTTTACTCGACCGTATTTGACTGTATTTGTACGGAATATAGCCCATCCGTACGGTCATACGGTCATTGAACTGAAAATACAATTTGAGGTTGCATTTATTTATTACTTTTTAAAATTAATTTTTTAAGCCATTTTTCTTTCCGTTTTGTTTCGTTGTATCGGTCTCTTCGGTCCGCATCCGCATCCGCATTTTGTGCCATGTCACTTATTTTGACATTCTCAACATCCGGTCGTTTAAACAAAGGAAAATGCCGCTGACAAGAAAGTTTCAGCGCGAAACTGATGATGAAAATGGAAAGTCTAACACAGAAAGCAGCATTTTCTACCAGTTTATTCTACTCTGTGGCTATGCCTTAAACCATCGTCAAAAGGAGAACATTTTGTGCATTGCACTGTTTGCAACTTAGACTTTTCCTGTGCACATGGTGGAAGGAATGACTGTTCACGGCATGTGGGATAGGGAAATCATACAAAATTGAAATCATTAGTGAATGGAAATAGAAACATTTTGTCAATGATGAAAGGAAAGGAAGTCAGTGATCAAAACATACTTCAAAAACAAATAACACATGCTGAGGCGATTCTATGTGAGTTGATCGCAAATATGAATTTGTCATTGAGTACAGCTGACAAGTTAACGGAAGCAGTGAAAAATAATTTATTAACCTTATTTCCATTCTAGTAAATATTGACAAAGATGATACTAGATTTTATCAGATAAATAAGATTGCCTTCACCTATCTAGATAAACTTATTATTTTCTAAGTGGATGGGTGGTAACAATGTCTGTCATAATGTTTTATATCAAGTCGTCCTTAACCAAGTAAAATAGAGAATTGGCTTTAATTAAAATGTTATGGATATGTGTGAAGCTGAGAAAAAAGATTTTTTAGAGAAAGTAACGGTGGTAAACAACAATAAATTTGGTTATGTTGTATTTTTTTGTGGTTTTTATCACTATAATATGAACAGGATGTTTAAGTCAGTGGTGTTCAATTTCTGCATATTTGTGCCTTGAAACACAGAATTAACTGAATACCAGCATCTTTGCAAACTAAGAGTTATTTACACAATATTGTATAGTCATTATGTCGTGTAATACTACATAATGATAATTATAGTATATTGATAGTATCTACTATTTGTGTGCTGAAAATACTGACTGTGGTCTGAAAATACTGACAGGCATTGCTTAAAATACTGACAGGAAAATTTATGGGTAAACAGGTCTGCCATTGTTTCTCCAGGTTACTAAAATAGCTTATAACCAAACTGAATTTGCTTGTGTTATATGACTTATTTAATGTAGTATAAACACATGAATCTGCTTATGTCACAGTCTGTTTATTTAAAGTAGGATAAATATATGAATGTGCTTGTGTCTCTTTTTATTCTGGAGGCATGGTAGCACACTTGAGAGAATGCCAGATTTGTATTATGAGGTTGTGGGTTTGATACCTGGGTTGACGGCATGAGTATGTTCTTGGGAAAGGTGCTTGACTCCCATTTCTTGTGTAAGATACTGCCAGCAATGTGTTAAAAGTGGCATTAAAAATGAACCAGCCAACTAGCCATCATTAGCAATGCAATTTCTTTCATTCATTTTGATTCATACTTGATTATTTCTATTCCTGAAGGCTGGAATTTGTACATTTATTGACACCAAAAAAAAAAACCCTTACTTCAACAAAAGGGCCCCTCTTTCCCTCCGCTTCTTAACAAATTCTTTGCTGGCACAATGAGACTACAAGCATGGCTTTAGCTCAGTTTTTTTTTTATTTCATCAAAGCAGATGAGCTTTGTTGTAAATGTCTTCTGTTTTTATTTTTATTGAGCAATCAAGCAAAAATAATGTGTTGTTTTTGCTTACAGTACAGCTGCACTCTTTACAATATGGTGACATTTTTTGCAAATGACATTGCCCCAGACACGGCCACTAGATGCTCTGACCTGACCACAAACATTCACCAGTTTCTTACTTGGCTGGACAATATCAGGTAAGACTTTGAAACTGTTAATAAAACAGAATGAAGCATGCAAAGAAAATAATCTTAAATCCATATTATACACAAAGGTTTATATA